CCCAGGGAGGAGGTTATATGTAGATCCTTGTCATTGGTTCCCCCTTTCAACCCTACCTTCCCTCCACCCTCCCAGTATCACTACTCTCACCACTGGTCTTGAAGTGATCATCTGTCCTGGATTCCCTGTGTTTCCAGTACCTATCTGTACCAGTGCACATCCTATGATCTAGCCGGATTTGTAAGGTAGAATTGGGATCATGATAGTGGTGGGGAGGAATTATTAAAGAACTAGAGGAAAGTTGTATGATTCATCATTGCTATACTGTACCCTGACTGGCTCATCTTCTCCCAAAGACCCTTCTGTAAGGGGATGTCCAGTTGCCTACAGATGGGCTTTGGGTTCCATTCCACACTCCCCCTCATTCACAATGATACGACTTTTTGTTCTTTGATGCCTGATACCTGATCCCATTGACACCTCATGATCACACAGGTTGGTGTGCTTCTTCCATGTGGGCTTTGTTGCTTCCCAGCTTTATGACCGCTTGTCTCTCTTTAAGCCTTTAAAGACCCCAGATGCTAGATCTTTTAATAGCGGGGCACCATCAGCTTTCTTTACCACATTTGCTTGTGCATCCACAGAAAGCTTTTTTTTTTTTTCCTTTTCGTTTTTTGGGTCACAAACTGGTATTAAACAGTTTGTTGGGCAGCTACATTTGAGTAGTGCTATTCTAGTTGATATCATTATGGGAGAATGTGGGGTGGGGTGAAGAAGACCATAAGGATTTGATAGTGTACTAAGATACATGAGGAGTCTTGGTGGCATAGTGGTTATGCAATGGGCTGCTAACAGCAAGGTCAGAAGTTTGAAACCAGTAGTCCCTCCGACGGAGATAGACCAGGCTTTCTACTCCTGTAAAGAGTTGGTCTTGAAAACCCACCAGGGCAGTTGCACCCCGTCCTATGGGGTCACTATGCATCAGCATTGACTTGATGGCAGTGAGATTGTCTGTTTGGTTTGATTTGAGATATTTGTCGTGAACCTGTGGTAGAGAGGTTGAGAGATTAGTGCACTTTAAACCTTGATAAGAAAAAAGCAACATGAACCTTGTGAGTGATTTTGCCGAACTTGGCTGGGCCAGGATTGTCTGTGGTTTGGCAGTTGTGGCCTAGTAATCCTCCACAATGGGACCTAACATAATGCAATCAGCTCTATATGGGATCTGCTGTGACCACCAAGCAGCTGTAAGAAGATTAGTGGGGAGTGTAACTCAGGTCACAACCTGATACCAGTTTGCGAGAACAAAAACAGAGCTTAGTGCCAGCGTATGTAAGCCAGCTGTGCCACCAAGAACATAGTTGCATTCAGCTCTTTTTGATCAAGGGTGTACCTACTTCCTATATAAATAGGCACTGTGGAATACTTTCTTGCTTTTTGCTATATCTGAATCCTGCATTGCATCTTTGCATCACACCCATTCAATCTGTACGTGGAGCAATCAATCTGAGATATTTGCTCTGATCCTTTGTACATGAGAAAAGAGCCTACCACATTTCCTGGTGAGCCCAGAGCCATTAGTGGCCTGTATGCTGACTTACCACCTGAACTGCTGACCAGGGATTTTTTCAACTCTTCCGTCACAAGGCCTGACCCACTGACCTGGCATTCACTTGCCTCTGCAGCCTGTTGTGTTCCTGCCAATATGTGGTTTATCAGCTCCCAAAGCTTTGTGAGTCAGGAGAAGCCTCCTTTACCATCTGACCTGTAGACTTGAAATTGGGTTGGACAGTTTCTACCACTTCTACAACTGTGCAAACAATATTCTTGATAGAAATTTCTCTCTTGCTCCATATATAAATGTAAACATAAATTTAAATAATTGGCTTTCCTTCTCTAGAGAGCTCAGTCTAACACAAGTCTTATTAAATTTTGGCATCAACCATAAAATAAAACTAAATAGAATGTAAATATGCCCAATTAGCAAAAGAAAATTTAGTTTATCTATTGTCAATGTTATCAAAGAATAATTTAAAAAAAGAAAGTATGGTAAGTAGACAACTAGAAATAAGATGGCTAAAATAAAACCTAATGTAACAATACAATAAATGTATATGACTTAACTAGTAAAATAACAGACCTCTTATATTGGTAATAAATAAAAAAATTCAAAAAGAATGCCCCCAAACACAAAGTTTAGATCAATCAGATTCACTGTATTTGAAATAAAATGTTCAACTCTGCAAAGGCATTCAACTGTGTGCTCCTGTGGAACTTGCATGTGGACCAGGAGACAGTTGTGGAGACAGAACGAGGGGACACTGTGTGGTTTAGAACCAGGGCAGAGGTCTGTTAGGATTGTGTCCTTTCATAACGCCTGTTCCATATGCACACTGAGCAAATAATCGGAGATCTTCTACGATATGAGGAAGACGGTGGCATCGAGATGGGAGAAAGGCTTATTAACAATCTGAGGTCTAGATGACACAAGCTTGCTTACTCAAAGCGAAGATGACCTTGAAGCCTTTATTGATGAAGATCAAAAACTACAGCCTTCCATATGGATTACAACTCAATGGAAGAAGAGAAAAGTCTTCATAACTGGATCAATAGACAATATCACGAGAAACTGAAGTGGCCAAAGATTTCATCTTGCTTGGATCCACAGCCAATACTCATGGAAATAGCAGTCAAGAGATCGTATGACATATTGTATTATTGGGCAAATCTGCTGCCGGTGCCACGGGGAAAAATTTTTTTTAAATGCTAAAGAACAAAGATGTTGCTTTGAGGGCGAAAGTGCACCTGACTCAAGCCATGGTGTTTTTAATAGCCTGATAGCATGTGAAAACCGGACAACAAACAAGAAACGTGAGAGAATGAATGCATTTGAAGGACGATGTTGGCAAAGAATATTGGAAGTACCCTGGATTGCCAGCAGAACAAACCAATCTGTCTTGGAAGAAACACAGGCAGATTATTTTTTGAAAGTCCGGATGAGCAAATGTGTCTCCTGTGCTTGGGACATGTTACAGAACGATCTAGTCCCTGGAGAAAGATGTTATATTAAGAAGAGGACTCTGAGGAGATGGATTGGCATAATGGCTGTAACAATAGGCTCAAACCTTGGAAAGATTGGGAGGATGGCCCAGGACTGTGCTTCGTTCTGTTGGACAGAGGGTCACTATGAATTGAAACTGACTCCAGGGCTCCTGCCAGCAAGAACATGCAAGTGGGGAAGTTCTGTAGTAGTTTTCCATTGCTGATGTAATAACTTATCACACACTTAGTTTCTTAAAAACAACACAAACCAGGCCAGGATCTGAAATGACTTCCAGTAGGCTACAGTCAAGGAGTCGGGAGGACTCTCTTCTGGAAAGCTCTGAGAGGGAATCTGTTTTCTTCTTTATTCCAGCTTCTCGAGGCTACCAACGTTCCTTGGCAAGTGACCCTTTCCTCTGTCTTTAAAACCAGCCATGGCGCATCTCTAAATCCGTCTCTCTGGCTGATAGTCCGCATCTCTAAATCCGTCTCTCTGGCTGATAGTCCGTTCTCTTCTTTCTCTAATGCTCTTATGTCACATTTCTAAGAAAACTTAACTCTTATCAGCATAAGAAATTTACTTTTCTGATATTCTCTTGGTCAAACCAATCTTGAGTCATCATAAAAGAGATTATTATCTTTAAACAGAGATTTATTTAACACATGTATAAAACACAAAGACAGGATTAGCTTACCCTTCACATTGCTGCCTTTCTGCTTCTCTGAACATTATTTGTCAAGATCTTCCCGTGGCCTTTGTGTCTTCCCTCTGGATTACGTGTCAGCATTTCATGCATTGAATGATCTTAATTATACAAATGAACATATGCAGGTCTAACGAGTTAATGAGGTAAAGCTTTTAAGACCATAATAGTAAGGGGAGGAAATATTAAAGAACTAGACAGTTATATGTTTCATCACCCTGAATATATCATCCTGCACCCTGAATTCTGCACCCTGAATATATCATCCCTTCTATGTGACTCTTCTGTGAGAGCCTGTCCAATTATCTTCCAGGTGGGCTTTGGGTCTCCACTTTGTCCACGCTCCTTCACAGCAATTTGAGTGCTTGTTTTTGAACTTCTGATACCTATTCCTGTTGACACATGATCACACAGGCTAGTGTTCTTCTTCCATGTGGCCTTTGTTGCTTCCCTGATAGATGGCTGGTTGCTTAACTTCAAGCTTTTAAGACCCCAGGTGCTACATCTTTTGATAGCCGGGCACCATCAGCTTTCTTCACCACATTTGCTTATGCACCCCTTTTGTCTTCAGTGATCCTATGGGGAAGGTGAGTATCATACAGTGCCATATTATTAGAACAAGCTGTTTTTGTACTGAGGTAAGATTTAAGTAGAAGCCCAAACTCCAACTGCTTCCTTTACATTTATATATAGTTTTTACTTACTTGTACTTTCCTCTTTTCCGTCTTTCTTTCCTCCTGCTCCACTATCCTGTTTAGGGCCCCACTTCGTTCAGTTCAATTGCTTTACCATGTTCAGCCAAGTAAAATACAGAAACATTAAAAAAATATTTTATCTACTTCCTTTTCTTGATACAGATTATTTATCATGTAAACATTGCAACACTTTAATGATCTTTACTTCTTCTTTTTCCAAGGTGAGTAATCATAAAAATAATCTTTAGAAAATTCCCCAGAAACACTTTCAATTCCTATTTTACTGCTCCAAAGTTACCGATAACATATTAAATAGACAAAAAATAATTAAAGTGCGGAAGAAGGAAGTTCACCAATAGGAAAATAGTCACAGAAACAAGTTAGCTAGATGTTAAATAAGCATAATCATCTGAAGGAAAACTTTTTTTATATCTGTCATTTTCTAGTGAGGGAGTAAAAGAGCAAGCAGCCCCTATCCTGTGCCCGATTTAGTGGCAGCTTCTCGCTCCACAGTGCTAAGGAAGACGTTTGGAACAATGCGAGTGTAGTTGCTTTGATGTGGTAGTGGATGGAAGGGATGCAGTAACGTTTCAGGGACCCTCATACTCTCTATCTTGCCTCAGACTATGTCCTGGATCCATGAGGCTGAGGGGAATTCACTCCCCCTCTTCTTGGGATTGTTGATGGCCATGTACTGACACTGAACGACAAGCAACGGGAGTGACATGCCCAGTGTGTCGGCAAAGATGCTGAGCTGAACGTCTGGGATCATCCAGTGGAGAAGAGTCTTGGGCCCACGCACGCGCTCCTCTCCTGCACCAGGATCGATCCTTGCTCCCACTGAGCCATTCTCACTTAGAATGGTAGAATTTCATGTACAGAGTGTTCACTTGTAGTTCATTAACATAATTAATGGTGCAGGTGTCCACAATAAAGCATTCAATATCACAGATGAGGGGAAAACGTAAGATAAACTGGAGCCATCCGCAAACACAAGGTTTCTCCAGCTGTACTGCTTATCTTGCTTACCGATGTGTGCAAGATACCATGATGTAGAGATTTCTTTTCAAAACCCTCCCACGCTTTTGAATTCATATCTTTAATCACTATCTTCTGGGTGCAATAGAGACTGTGTGAAAAGGTCATGGTCAGGAAATATTTTAAAAGAAGAACTGAAAAGAGTTTTTGGTGGATTGTGAGTGAAGAGGAAAAGTAATGAGGGAAAGGATAGGAATTCTACATCACCCAAGGAGCCAAGCCTCACAATGAAGACAAGTGGAAAATAAATGTACTTGATAATAATGTACTGGAAGCATCCGAGATTTAGCAAGATAATGAGGAATTACATAGTCAATTTTCAGAAGAATATATGTGTATCTGCCCTATGTAGCTGCTTTCCCCTTCAAGATATCTGGTGAGATACAAGGGCTGGCTGGAAGGTTGAGCTGTGCTTTTGACAGTCTCTTGGGATGGGGAGACAGTTAGAGGGGATGATATAGTTCAGGGTCTGCAAAGAATGTAATGGTAGACGTGCCCTTGAAGGGCTGCATCCCAGTCTCACGAGAGCAATAAAACCACTCTTGGTATAGACTGAAACTTAGCTTTCAAGTAATTTGGTTTATCTTAGAACATCTGAGTTTTTGAAATTGGCTTAAGGTGACCCTGGATTACTAATGTTCGCAGATGCCGCGCAGAAAGAAGGGAGAATCTTCTCTAATTATTAATAGCTGTTCAGTCACCAAGTGAAAGATTTTGAGAACAAGGTATTTTACAGTATGAAATCAATGTCCCCATCTTTTAAAAGAGACCTTATTAATTACAAAAGGTAAAAAGTACTTGTGATAGTTAAGGTTTTATGTTAACTTGACTGGGCCGGGATTCTGAGTGGTTTGGCAGCTAAGACCCAGTAATCACACATGATGAGATTTCCTCAGGGGTGTGATGTGCTTCCAATATAAGTGGATGCTGTGAAAAGCTTGCTAGCTTTTTTGCTGGGCCTGGATTCTACATCTGGCTGGTCCATCTCATTCTATGGACTTGAGCTAGTGACTTGCCATATTGTCTGTTCATCCTGGAGTCTTCAGTTGCCTCTGATCCTACCAGTCAACCTTGGATTCAGTCACCTCTGCAGACTTGGAATTTGCTTACCTCTATAACTGTGTGAACCCTTTCCTTGATATAATATAAAACCTGATGTACACTACCCCAACCCAAAAGACAAATAAGATCACCAATTAATAAAAGCAGTCCTCTCTAAAATACCATAAAATTATCCAGGGCTTCAAATGATTTCTATATTTTATTTTTTTAATCATCTACAGCCATAAGGAATTAATAGAGGTAGGGGAGACTGAGGCAGGTCCAGTTACAGCAATATACAGGGGCAGGGGGAGGGGGGCAGGTAGCAAGTTTGGTCTTGAACTTGGGGGTGAGAAAGTGAGGATCTTTAAGCCTGGGGTGTGGGGCACAACGGGAAGCAGGCCTGATCTGAGAGGGGCCTGAAGGCCCGGTGCGGGGAGGCTGCAGGGCCAGTCCCCTCAGTGCTGAGGAAAAGGCCCTTGGCTCAGTCTCCTTCAGCCCACAGCCCATCCTGGCAGTTGCTACTGATGGAGATTCCAGAAGAAACTTTTGCCAAACCCTTAAGCACTGATCATAATGGCAAAGGAGGAGGGAGGCCTTGATGATCCAGGCAGGAAGCCTGCGAAGAGCCCCTTGGTGCCCTACTGGGCCCAGGTCCTCCGCAGCAGCAGCCGGGTGCAGTCGACCCGTGGTGGCCTCACTCTCAGAGCCTCCGTTGTGCCCAGCGGGTCCTGGCCTTGAGTCTTCACCATGTCGAAGGGCAGGGTCAGCATGGCTGCCACCATCCCTGAGATGCTGCCAGCCATAAAGCCCACAGATGTCTGGTCCCTTTGACTTGGCCCCACTCAGCAAGCTCTTCGCCAGCCCATAGTCGAACCAACTCAAGGCCAAGAAGGGCACGCTCCACTGGGCAGTGTGCCCCCAGCTCAGCCACAGGGAGCCCAGCGGCCCCAAACTGCTGCGGCCTGCACTGAGGCGCTCAACTCCCGATAGGACACATGCTGCGCCTTTAGCTTCATCCTCATCAGCTCTAGGAGGCTGACCACAGTCACAGTACCCAAGTGGGCCATAGTGCCATCCACCATGAGGGCATAGAGGCCGGAAGTCAAGGCTCGGCCACACAGGAAGGTCTTGAGTTGGTCATAGGCGGCGAAGCAGATGGCAGTGGGTGGCACAGTCATCACCAGGGTGGCTGGGAGCCCGCTCCATAGGGTCCCTGTGCCCTTGTGCTGCACCATCTTCACAAAGACATCCATGGTGCCGGTGAATCGGGTGGGATCCTGAAACCAGGTGCATGACGTGCACCATGTGGACACAAGGACAGGGACTCCAGGACAGGACTGTAGGACAGGAGACACTTCCCTTCCCCATATCCAGGGGTGTCTTGAAGGGAGAGGTGACCACTGTTCCAGTGCCCGAAGCCACCATTTGTTGGAGAGAGCTAATTCCCCCCGGGTCCTGGTAAGCCATCTAATTGACCAACTCCATCTGGTTCTGAATCTAGACTGGTGCCTGTGCGATGCTGCACCCAGAACCGGTCGGGCCCATAGGGGCTCTGCTGCCAGTGTAGGGTGCGCGGGCCAATTTCTTTACTTTCAAAGAACAGAACACAACACAACACTTGGTACCTTAGGAGACAGACATTACAAACAACAGTGAGCAGAAATAATAAATAATATTTACCCACACAATGTTAAGTCTTGAAACTATCAGAGCCTTTACAATAATTTTTTTAGGTACAAGGAAATGAAAAGCCAATGTAAAAGTTTCAGTGTAGAACTGGGCCTAAAAATGACATAGTAGATGTGGGGGAAAAAAATCAAGTAGACATTCCAGAGCAGGGGGAAAAACAACACAGAAAAACTCAGTAGCAGAACTGAAATTTCAACCAGGAAGTTCAGTTTTAGAGACCATGATCTCAACAGCTACTCGCAAAGCCAGAGGGGGAAGATGCCACATTTAAAAGCTATAATTTAGTCAATGAGAGTTCAGCCAATTTCAACGATTGCAGCTGGTAGGGTCTGTGGAGTGAGTCCCGACTCACCGTAACCCAGTGTTCAACAGGAAACAACACGGCTGCTCCGGTGTCATGCTCTCAATCTTTCCTCCACAAGCTTTGAGCCCATTGTTACAGCCCCATGGTGTCAATCCATCTGGGTGAGGGTCTTCCACTCTTGGGGGGGGGGAGGACCCTCTACTTTACCAAGCCTGATGTCTTGTTTTCAGGGGCCGTGTACAAAGTATTTGAGACAAAGTGTCACCATCCTCACTTGCTAGGAGTTTTCTAGCTATACTGCCTCCAAGGAAGATTTGTTTGTTCTTCTGGCAAGCCATGGGTATGCATAGTCTTTGTCCACACCCTCTCATTCAAATGCATCACTTCCTTTCTAATCTTCCTTACTAACTAACGTAGTTAGTTTATTGTGCCAATCTGGTCGATAAACACATGTGGGGGTAATTGAAGGGTGGTGGGATAAATGGCTCAGTGAGCCTCGCCTTTCTAGTTCTTGGGTCTCTTGCTTAGTGATGGTCAGACCAGGGTGCAGCTGCCTTAGCCAGTTCCCTGCTTCAGCTGGCAAGGCTCACTTCCTGCAAGACATCCCTGAGGAGAAGCCACATGGACCTACCTCGATGCAGCCCTGGGTGCTGGAGCAGCTGTGTGGAGACACCTGCCAGTGCTGAGATGCTTACACGTTCACTGACTCAGCTTTCCTCCTGCAGTCGGCATCATTGCATGTGTTTTGTGAGATGGAGGAGGACTTTGTGGATTGGTGTCGGACATATGGGTTAATGGACTTGTGGGCTTGGGCAGCACTGGGTTGGGATGTTTTCTTGATGTGCACTGAACCTTTATATAAAACTCACTCTACCCAGACTAACACACTCACTGTGCAGCTTTCTCACGCATGTGAGGTGGTTGAAAATACCATGGCTTGGGCTGGGTGCACCTTAGTCCTCAAACTGACAGCATTGCTCTTAGCACCTCAAAGAAGTCTTTCGCAGCAGTTGTGCCCAATGCAATATGCTGTTTGGTTTCTTGACTGCTGCTTCCGTGGGTGTTGATAATGGATTCAAGAAAAACAAAATTCCCGATAACTTCAATTATTTCTCCTGTTATCATGATCGTGTGTATTGGTCCAGTTGAACATTTTTGTTTTCTTTCCATTGAGGTTGTACTCTTTTATCTTCATCAGTAAGGACGTTAAGTCCTCTTTTCTTCCAGCAAGCAAGGTTGTGCCATTTGTTATTGCGGGTTGTTAGTGAGTCTTCCTCCAGCTCTGATACCATGTTCTTCTTATAGTCCAGCTTCTCATCTTATTTGCTCAGCATCTAGATAAGTATGGTGAAAAGATAAAACCCTGATACCTACCTTTTCTGACTTTAAATCATTCCATCCTCTAATTCTATTTCACCTATTTACCGTTTCAGCCTGAGCACAAACGAGTGGTCTGGAATTCTCCTTCTTGGCAGTGTCATCCACAGTTTGTTATGATTCATACTGTCAAATGCCTTTTAACAGTCAATAAAATATAAGTAGACATCTTTCTGATAGTCCTGATTTTAGCCAAGGTTCTATGTTCTCTTCTGAATCAGGGTTCAATTTCTTACAGCTCCCTGTGAGTACACGACCATAGCTATTGTTAACTATCTTCAGCAAAATGTTACTTGCCTGTGAAAATAATGACTTTGTTC